TGAATGAATGAATGAATGAATAGCCTTTATTTAAACACAACAATCATTTGAGGGGATAAAATTTACTTAGCTTCTGCGACTTTTAGGTACCCAGTGCTAAGCATTAGCCTGCAACTGTAACTTCTTTCATTGCTAGCCTTAGTTTTCAGGCCTAGTGGGATTTGTGAGCCCAGAATCAGATACAGCTATTTTTGCACCATGACATTGTTATACAACTGCTTCATTTATTGTTTAATGTAGGTGATACCTATTGAGTCAAGCATGGCAGAGAACAGGCCCCGTTTCCCACTGTATCTTCACCTGGCACTTGGGATAGTCTCCTCCATTCTTGGTTCATTTGGAATGCTTGGGTACACTATTTATGGCAGCAATGTCCCTCAGATAGTAACAGATACTCTGCAAACGGGTATAATGGCACAGCTGGTTCGAGTGACACTTATCGTAGCTGTCTTAATGACATACCCTCTTCAGCTGTACCCAGTTATTGAAATTGCAGAGTCCATCTTTTTCACCAAAGTCCATTCTAGAAACAAGTCTCACATGAGTGAGATCATTGCAGGTCCAAGTGTGGAACCAGGAAGCAACCCAGTCTCTCCCCCTGACCCCTCCATGGGTGAGTCACAATACCCAGTGTTAGATTCATCAGGTGGTGTGTCTACCAGTATACAAGATGAGACTGAAGTTCTCATACCAAACGATACTGAAGAACTTCAATATAAGGTATGACGTCAAGTAATACTATGTACATTAAAGTGGAATATGTGATTTTATGCTGAGAGGATACAATAATTAAGTAATTTTATGAGTTCTTGCTGTTGTCAATCATAGGACAAGGGGGCCCTTTTAATTATATTCTTCAGAGATACTCCCAACAATGACACTGGCTAAACTACATATAAAACCATGAACTATGAAACATTCTTTGATCAACGGTGCCACCTTGTTCCCAGCCAGTGCAGCTACGTTTAGTCCTGTCATCAGCAGTATCATTCTACAAGTGCTAGTTCTTGTAGGTGTGTCATATACTGTAATGTTCAAAACTTGACAATGCTGCAGTGGAACTTAATTTTGATGGTACTGAGTAAGTGAGTGCATAATGTCAAGAAATACACAAAATATGTACAAATTATTATCGGTAGTTCCCGTTGTAATTAATTTGGAGATGAAAATCTCTCTTGCCAATATGGGAGTGCAATCTTTTTCTTGAACAGTGGGCAAATAACCTCACCTGGGTGTGTGGGCATGTAGTAATTTTAAACATGGTAAGACAAAATTCACCGATCTTGGTTAGTCAAAATTGTAAAACTGTTCTGGCTATTTTTCATTCCATAGGCTGCACCCTGGAAGAGAAATTTACTACGTACTGTGTTGGTTCTCGTAACAGCTGGAATTGCTGTTCTTCTCAAGGATGAATTTGCCTATGTAAATGCTTTTATTGGTTCCTTAGGAAGTTCGGTGTTGGCGTACATTTTACCTTGCACTTTTCATCTTGTTCTATATAAACACACCAATTCTGTGGGTGTAGTTATCAAGGACATTGTCTTCGTTATATTTGGTATCGTAGGTGGTGTTGTGGGTGTTGTCATTACTGTCCAAAATGTAATCAAGCACTTGACATAGCTAAACCCAATATTGACTCTTATTGTAAACTGAAGGGAGAGGGTTACACGCCATGTTTATTTTGACATGAACTGGTTATTTTTCCCATGGACATAATAATATTACAGTCGAACCTCTCATAAGTGGACACCTTTGGGACCAGAAGAAGGGCTGCTTGAGGTGGCTCAAAACAGCTTCCACTACTTTCTTAGACTTAATTAGATTTTGATAGGTCATTACAACCACTCTTTATCAGTTGATGCAGCAATCATGGTATCAGAAAACTGTGCAACATCAGTGAACACGTTCTCATTTTCTATCATTTTCGTGACACAGTAGGTTACCATAGCAACAGTATTACTTGCTAACACAACCGTAATTTTAGTTTTAATTACTTATATTTCAAAAATGGCACATGAAAACCATCTTTTTAAATCAAATTTTGATCAGCTGCATAAGATGTAACTTAAGGCAGAGTTTAAATAAATTCTGTTCATGGGGTTCAGAGCCACCTTAAATTTTCAAAAAAATTCAAAAAGGTGTTTGCTTTTGGGAGGTTAAAAATGCAGCTTTTGTATGTGGCTGGGACCATTACCGAGTGGCCGCTTACAAGAAGTGTCTGTTAACGGAGGTTTGACTGTACTATCAAATTAAGGGAAACCTCCAGATAATAGTTTCTAAGATAGGAAAACACTAAAGAAGTAAAAATAAACCAAAAATTGACAAGGATGGCTTTGACTGAGGAAGATTAAGGCCCAGTTTAGATGGTACAACTTTGCTGGATACAACAACCTTGCAGCAAGTGCACAGCAAATTGTTTTGTGTAAATCAAACGTACAATTTTGCATTCAAGTTGTACATGTAGGTTTCTTTTACACAAATCAATTTGTGTTGCTCACTCGTTATGTGCGGCAAATCATAGCATCTAACATGGCCCTAAAACATAATACCACTTAACTTGACACAAATTGGCTGACTCTTTTGCAAGAGGCACTGTCTGTTACCTAGCTTCTGCCCTCTGCAGCCAGAGCTAAAGGTGTCAACTTGAAACAGTGCTTCATAAAGAGAAAACAATTATATTATTTAAAGTAAGTACATGTCAGTTACTGTCAAACTTACAGTAGAAAGATTCCAGACATATTTTAGGTGTCCACTTAGCACCCTCTCCCCCATCAAAAGTCATTGAAAACAAATAGGTCCCTCAATCTATTAGAGATGATTAGAATGTTAGATGGTTAATGATAAATACACTTCTGGAAATCTCTACTGCATTCACCAAAGCTTAATCTTAACAATCTAGGGATGAGGATGCAAGTTCTTACCACAGTTTATCATAATTTTATATTTTGTGTAAGTTTTCTCTGGAAGAATGTGGTAAACATTTTTAAAAAGATGATCAAGGTTCTCATTCACATAACGGTTTTGACCTCTTGTTACATTTGGGATGGGATTAAAGGGCATATTTTTTTTTACAGATTAGTCCTGTTTTAGAAGTACATTCTTATTTGAAGGTCAAAATGGCCAGCAAGTTATCTGAAGTTTATTTATCACAAAAATGGAAGTAAAATGAAAGATAAAATTAAAGTGTTGAATTTATCATAAATTAGCATTATTTAGTTATTTACACTGTAGCATTCCTTCTGTAAAAAAACCTTGGTTCACAATTTTTGTACACTTTTTTTTTAACAATAAGTGGGAAAGAAATTTTAAAAAAATTGTAAAAGTTGTAAAATAAAATTCCTGAGATTGTTCACGATGCAGCTGGGCCAACATTCATGTTGTGCAGCTCAGCGGTCGTTAAGCCGACCTTTCTATGCTCACGTTTCACAGAGTTCGGGAAAGGTTTCTCTTTATTCAATTGTTTTGGTCTTTCATCCACGATCGAGATACTTGGTTGCTTTCCGTCCTGGCTGCTATCTGTATTTTCCATCTTGAGCGGTTAGCCACGTGACTTCTGTCCGGCTTCAGATATTAATCCGAACATATATCACAGCTTCAACCGCTGGTGGAAGGTTCGACGTAGAGAACTTTTGATGGCCTGGAGACCTTTTTCCCCTTGGTTGTCTTTTTCTTGCCCACTGGTCTTTGGTTCTTTCGAGAGGTGTTGGGAGCTACTGTCTGATGCAGGGGCCTGGTGCGGACGTTGGGTGGTGGAGAGCTGAAAGCTACAGATCAACAAAGAAGAGACATGAGTTCATGTATTGATACAAAACGATGTACTCTTTTGTTGGAGTGACCTTTACAACTTATATCCCTCTCTATAATTGACCGAACGAAACAACAAATAAAGAACACAAACAATGCCCCTAAGCATAAGAACAAAAAAAAGGTGCCGTTTAACAAGAACGAAAGAAAATAGAAGTTGTAGAGCAGTGGAGATCAATTGACACATTCGGTTGACCTGTTTACATCCTTGATGCCGCCCAATTCAGATCACGTGATGATTCATTTTAGCGGTTACAATTGCTCTGTTTGCACATAGGACCATGCAACTGAATCAGTTGCGCGTGGCAAATTGCACAATTTCAGCCTCACAAACGAATCATCACAAGGTCTGAATAAAATAGCAGCAAGGATGTAAATTAAACTCGTGAGCCGAATCCGTCTGTTACATTTGTTTTTCCCACAGCATTATCATAACAAAATGTAAGCAGTGACGGTGACAGAGTTAAAAAAACCTCATTACTTCTTTTTTGAGGATAACATCTCGATTTTAATAACAGTGTCTTTAAGCCACAGGATCTAGACTACTTCTAAGACGCTCGTGTTTCCGCTACAGGAAATTAAATGAAAAGGACATTTATGAAAAAAAAAAAAGCCACAGCCAAGCTATTTGTATTTATAGCAAACCGATTCAGTATCAACTAAAGCACTTCATGGATAGAAAAAAAAGTAATAAAAATAAAGCGTTCCTATGTAAACAGTAGATGCAATATTAGCTGACAGTAACATTGATAAAAAATGGCCGAGAAGATGCGTAACGACAAGCTAGCTAGAAATCTTCTTCACTCCCAAGGGTTGCTATAATTCCTTATTAAAATGTCAGCCTGGCCTTCCTGTTTGAACGAAAATGGTTGAAATTTAAAAAAAGAAAAATATGCGCTGACATGAAATGTCATATTATTCTGCAAATATAGAAAAGAAATGTTTTCAAATTTCCGATCGTGTTTAATTATAGAGAATCGACAACAAAAGAAAGTAAATAAACTTTGTATACATGGAGATATGTATGATATATTTTTTATCAGTAAAGCGAAGACTTAAAATACTGTAAAACAATACAAGGCACTTGCTTTCCCGTAATGATTACTGGGTTGATGAAAAAGTGATTACTCTTAAAACGTTGAGCGTATCGAACTATTCTTTGACAACACAAAAGAACAACATTAGTCAAACTGGGAGGCATATTATGTTCTTCAATGTACCCCTTTACGCGGTGAGCTTTTCCTATTTGCAAGGCAATTTCAGGAAAAAAAAGTACAGCATTGCCCGAAATTTACTCTCATATTTACACATATTGGTTATATTGTAAAGCAAACAACAAAAGCCAACCGTGAAAAGGAAAGAGCTATTAGAGTATTCATATTCAAGCCAAGAAAGTTTAACCACTGGAAAAAATACCACCTCCAGTGTCTCAAAGTAGGCTTTCACGTCTAATGAATGCACTTTCATAATTGAAGGTCGCTTGTTACCTTCCCGCTCTGTCACTTTGTAGTAGTATTAATGAAAGTATGCATGAGACGTGATACGTGTTAATTTAGCTGTTGCTTTAAAGAAAAGAAGATTGCAACATGTGAATTAATCCGATATTACGCCTTTACCAAGTTCCAATTATTTCAATGAATTATGCAAAATAAGGTCAGAGTACACAATTCCCAGGCTCTTATTGATTTTTAGGCTTTTTACTACATCATAAGTCGTTGGTATTTACTAAAAAGCACTATTGGGTTTACCATGTGTACTGCATTCGAAATGTTGATTTTTTTTTCCCATAACATTAAAGCAGTATCGATCGTAAGTTGTCATAATGGCCTACTGGAGGATTCCAAAAAGCTTTATGCATGATTACGTCAGACATCATAATTCACCCGCAAGCCTCGCTTGCGAGAAATTTTCTCAAGCCTCTTCAAGCTGTTTTTTTTTTGTGTGTGTGGATATTCTTTTCATCTTTGCTGCTTTGGAAATTTGTCCACGATAAAATTTGCAATTTGCATTTTTAAAGGGAGGATCGGTGGTGAAATTTGCTTGTCTAGTGTCACCACGCTAAAGGGCTATTGCTTCGAGAAAATTCGTGCCTANGTTCCCCGAAATAAGTCACTTTTTTAACCATCATGACAGCTCTCTAGGCCGTCATGTAAATGCCGCGTCAAGCAAAAGCTTAGAAATTTAAGCGTAGTGTATCACAAAAACCAAGAACCCATTCAGAGCGAAAATTTGTATGAATATTAGTTTTCAGCTGCTCTCATACATCATTTAAGTAAAATCTCAGGAAGATCAATAGTTTTGTACTTCGAATTTTAGTGACGTCATGTGAAAACCAGCTATAGCCTTCCACGTGGAGCCAGAAATCACTTTGCGCAAAAGAGAAGTCGGTTGAAAAACGTTTTGCATCATATTTAACGTGATTTTAAAACTAATCATGAAATTAAACAACAGTTTAACTCACCTGCAACAGGGAGATCATCTTTGTATTCGAAATGAACTGCCCTACTCCAGGATGGGGAACGTGGCTGCTGCGTACATGGTGATGGTGACCGCAAGCTCTTATCCCTGGGTGAAGATGGAGCACCAGCAGCATTTCGTTTAAGCGCTAAATCTTCTATAAATTTCTAAAAGAAATGAGAAAGCATGACATTTTGGGTACTTTCTATGATAAAAGCTAGATGTGTGGAGGGTTTTCAAACCCTTTTTCTGGTGGCAGTTTTGAAAGAAGCTCGATTGTCAGTGGATCCCCTCCCTCCCCCTGAAAATTACTTGGTTTGCTCCACAGCTCTTTTGTGCTTATTTCCTCTCGTACTGAACAGTGATGGAGATAAACGTCTTTTGCATCTTATGGTAGCAGGGGTGCACGCTTAACGAAGTTTACTTTCATAAATTTTACTGACCTGTGGGGGTCCTTGGGGGGTTATCTTCCGTCTTGGGACTGCCCCTTTGGACGACGGAGCAGTCTTCTTTTGTTTCGCGATTGGAGGAAGAGTTCTTGGGATGGAATTGGCTTTTACACCAGGCCAACTTGACTTTCGCGTTTCTTTCTTAATCTCGGGTTTAAGTGCTGTTTCGTTCTCAGGGTTTCTCATTTTGTTACTGGCTACTATCGAGGCAGCTGCCATTTTTGCTTCGGCCACTGTGTGTACGGTATTCGCGATGGCCTGACCTTGTTGTTCCCCTTGTTTACTCTCGTTCTTTTCTTGGTTATTGTTGTTCGTAGCTTTATTTTTGCCTTTTCCTTTCTTTTTGTCTTTGTCCTGAATTAAAAAGAGAAATGCCTCATCAGAAAAAAGTATTTGCATATACATGCACATTTACCACACAAAGGTGTACTTCTGCGGGTTATGCTGTTAGAACATGGGGGAGTTGTTGAATACTGGCCGATATTCAGTCTTGAGTTGTTTGTCGGGTTTTTTTTTTTTTCACTTTTCCTTCTTTATTTTTTGTTTCTTTTTCTCCATTTAGTAGTTAGAAGGTAATATTAATAGCATTCTATTGATTTTATATGTAATAAATGTCAAGTATAAGTAAAATGAATATTGTAAGCTACGGTATTGTGAATAGTATCAGTAGTGTAAACTACGATAGTATTTTGAGTGGCGGTAATAGTAGTGTAAGTAACGGTTGTATTGTAAGTAACGTCAGCAACGGTGTAAGTGATATTAGTATTGTATACGTAAGTAAGGTAAGTGCTGTAGGTAATATTATTGTAAGAAGTGTTAGTAGCGTAAGTAATTTTAGTATTGTATGTAATTAATTTATGATTAAAAAAAAAAGTTAGAAGGTAATAAAAAATAAATAAGAATTAGCTCAAATTTTAAAGCACGAGTCCATGGCAGACAGGTCATGTTGGGAGGTGATATTGGAGCTCAAGTTGAACCCGGTTATGTTTCTGAACATGGACCGTACAACAAGTGCGATTGTCTTTTCGAAAAACAATCTCGATATTAGAGGCAAATGGAACGAAAGTAGATTCATTCAGTTGTTTGAATTGACATGGAGATGAAAGTTTTAACAATCCCGTTCTTTTATTAATAAACGTTTTGTGTTATAAAAGATCGTGTGATTCATGGCTTTTGCATTAAATTTTAACCTCAGAATACGGTATTGCATGAAAAAAAATGATACTTAAATAAGAATTGTGTACCTTGTGAAACACTGACACTACACTGAATGGTAATGTGTGGAAAAAATATCAAACAAACAAAAAATTACCCCCCCCCCCCAATAGTTAGCCTATTCAGTCTATCAGTTAAAGAACCGAAATATCTCAAAATCATTATAACAAGTAGTAAAATCTTTGTAGTTCAGCTAAAGACCAGATTGCTTCAGGTTAAACCTGTTAACTTTCTTGACGTTTAGTAGTTTTAATTGGCGTGATTTATTTTAGAGAAAATCATCACTTGCTGATGTGAAAGATAAATACTACCTAATGGTATTTTGGTATAAATAGACTGTCAGCTACATTTTCTAATGTACCTCTTCTTCTTCGATTTCAATGGCTTCATGTTCGTCAAAGGGTGTCACCAGAGTGCTTTTCCATTCCCAAGCGGCAAGAATTAGTTTACGCACTTCAGGGTTCAAGACAACATAAAACAAGAAGAATCCAAAACCCTGTCGACATAGCAAATGCAATTAAGTGTTTGTCCAAAAGCACGGCAAAGACTTCGTCTTAACCTGTTTTTACCATTTGTCCATCCAGTTAATTACATGATTTTATTTCATACACTGTAAATCAGTGTTTGCGTATAAATAATCACTGGACACCCCGCAGAAACAAACAAAGAACTTTACTATGTTCTCGTGTGTGCCTTACTAAGTTTAGTTCAGTACTAAACGTCTGCGCGGTTAGATTTCACTAGCTCATGAACATAACCAACATACGTAGACGCACTAAGTTGCTGTTAAATGTAAGTAGCCCCTCTTTGTTTTTTTTGAGATTTTCCTAGCAAAATTAAAGGAGGCCAACAATCCACATCTTTCTGAGTCATCGTATTTTGCTTATGCTTATTCCTATATGCTAGTGAAAACCAGGCTTACGACGGTCTACGCACCTAAAGTGCCTAAAAAAATACAGTGAAATAGAATCATCACCTGCAACGCGTTAAATATGGAGAAAAAGGTATGGTAGATATCACGATCGATGTTCAAGGAAAGTGATCCCAGAAGCCAGGTTAGAATGACACTGATTGTTATGCAAACCACTGTTTGTAAACCGGACCTATTGAGAGAGTTATTTCGTTTCAACAATTAGTACAAACCAGGAGGAAAGTAGTAGCTGATTCAGAATTGACTGTAGTATCAGTGATATAAGCAGCGAAATGCTTTAGTTTTGAGGCGAATGAACGACCTATTCGAATTTATTGTTGTTTGGACGAAGAAAGACGGTATCCTAAGAAACCTACAACGTTCTATTGGAACCAACCAGCGAATTATTTTGTATTCGGGAAAAAAAGGGTCCGTCTTTGATTGATCTGGTCGAAGTTCATTCATGTAAATTTAAAACACATTAATATAACTAACTGATGCCTTACTTGATGACACTTTTCTTGGTTTCATTTTCTTCAATGTCGCTGGACTTACGGTAAGTAATCAAAGCTTTCGCCAACAAAACAATGAGTATTAATTGTACCTGAAAACAGAAGAAGCAATATGCTCATGATTTTGGATATTTATTATCCATCAGAGTTAGGTGATAAGGAGACAGCCCTTGGCTCATTTCAGGCTCTCTGAGACATGAGTGTAGGCAGGCCTGAAGATGTGCACTCCGAGACCTGAGTGAAGGCAGTTTTCCACATCGGTCCCCGAAAAGAAAATCATGCATGAAAAATAGCCATACCTCGAGAATTTGATGTTTCATTACCACCAGGACGCAGTCGCGTCCCGGGTTGTAATGAGGATTGGATGGTCAGAGAGGCTGGTAGAAGAATAGCAGAAAGATCTCTTGAGATGCATAGCGATAGGTAATCTACTCACCATCCCTAACGTAATTATGGGTGTTGCCACTGACCAGCTCAACGCGTCAGAGAAGGAGATCCAGCAGCTGAAACAAAGGAAAACAAACACATAATTGATGTATTTGTTTAAATGTATCAAAAAGCCATCAACACAACAAAAACAACAATGAATAGAGCAGAAGAGTCTCCTTGAAAACGAGTTGTATGTCCGAAGAGTGATAATAGTAGTGAGCTGTATTTTAATGAGGAAGATATTTGAACAGTGAAGTGATGAAGTAAACGAAAAATCATAATCACTAAAAAAAGAAAAATGCAACGTTTTGTTTCAAGAAACTCTATCAATTCATCCTTTTGGCCCTCTGCCAGTGTCGGTCCTGTCAGCTGTGTCTATGTGTCTATGTGTCTGTCTGTCTGTTTCTTTACATTTCAATGAATATAGTATCGCAATGTGTTAATATAAACAGGGATTAACTCACTGTGGATGTTTATCGTACATCTCGTACTTAGAGGCAAGGACACATACAACAACAAGCGGTAAACCTGAACCAAAACCGCAGCAAAACATTAGTGCATTTTAAATCACATATTGCAATGCAATGTATATTTCACTGCTCAACTACCAACGTCGTATTGTAAAAGACTGTCCATGATAACTTTCCTTACCCCAAGCGCCTGCGTAATAGAGTTTTGTTTTCATTTTCTGCTGCTCCTCGCTTTCACGCTTCCTGGTGAAGGAGAAGAGGTAAAGGGCCTGGACTATAAGCCAACAGAGAGTTACAAGAGACAAATAGTTCATGGTAATGGCCACAACAGCACAGGCAATCTGAAAAGAAATAAAACATCATCATCATCATCATAATAATAATAATAATAATAATAATAATAAACATTTGAATGGTTTAACTTATCAACAGTTATTTACAAAATATGTAAATGCAAAAATAATCATTAACGATCATTAGCACACCCTTTCACAGTCATGTGACAAAGTGAGTAATAGAAACTCACTTTACGTGTACGTGTCACTACAGAGCTAAAATCAGGCGATCTCTCATAGTGATCTTACTTTCTAAAACACTACAACTCGATCGTTTTTTAAACACTTCATTAGGAGATTTAAAGCTATGCAACTAACAATTATTTAATCAGTGTATCATTTTGCAAGAATTGATAAAAATATCACCAAGATTATTTTGGTTTCAGTTGCACTATATAACCTGTTTTGAAGGCGTATGTCATCCATTTGGTGCTCATTACGTCAAATATCGTAAAGGTATTCGATGTATTAAACCTACTGTGTCATCTCTAGCGTCAGCTCCGGCCAGGAATAAAAGCTGAGATAGTAATACGCAAATCGCTTGACTCATTTGCATATCTCGTTCAAAACGGCTGTCCCTGCATAGAGAAACGATTACAATATGTTACAACGAATGCTTGTTTTAGACGTTTAACGTGACATTCTGTCAGTCAATGGCTACATTTTGCACTTTGATTTGCGCTTACTCGACACACTCAGCGAGTCAGTGCTATACGGGCATTTTATAGCTCGACGAGCTGCCCTACACGGTCGTTCTCATATCTTTCTCATCCCGTGGATTACCGGAAGGAAAATGTTTTACAACAAGGTAACCCTTCATGAAAGTTTCCCCGGGCCTTCTATCTCAGGGGTCTAGTGCCCGGCAATGTGCGTATTGTTAGTTAAACCTAGCGGGGATCTTCGAAAAAGTGCAGCAGGGCTTTTTAAATCTCCTGCCTAAATAGCGGAATTAACTCAGGAATGAACTGTTATTGCCGAATATTACTGTGTGCATTGCCCCTTACATCTCTATCAAAACTCTGTTGAAACTGACAACCTGTAAGAAACGGTTACTGACCAATCCCCAATGATGACCACTTCATAAAAGTGTTCCTCGATCACATTCGATTCGATGCGAATTACAAAAATTGGTGTCCATATACTATGGATACTATTACTATTACCAAAAGTGTTAAAAACTATGTTCTATCTCGGCAATATCAAACTTAAGTTTCCACAATTCTTCCAGCCCTTTCTTTTAGTAATCCGTCCTTCTACTCCCATGGTTTTTTATGTTCACTCAAACGAGATGGAGACTAACTCGATAATCTCGCGGTTCTATTAGCCTCCATGCACAAACTATGTATCATTGTCACCTTTAATTGTTATATATGTATCTTTTTTTCTTTTTTATGCTAATATTGTAATTTCAAAATGTAAGTGCAAAATAAAGTGAAGTTGAAGT